CTCTTTCTCTCCTTCTATCTATCTCTCTCTTCTCTTTCTCTTTTCTCTTTCTCTCTCTCTCTCTCTCTCTCTTTCTCTCTTCTCTCTCTCTCTTCTATTTCTTCTCTCTCTCTCTCTCTCTTTCTATTTTCTATTCTATTTCTCTCTCTCTCTCTCTCTCTCTCTCTCTCTCTCTCTCTCTCTCTCTCTCTCTCTCTCTCTCTCTCTCTCTCTCTCTCTCTCTCTCTCTCTCTCTCCCTCTCTCTCCTTCTCTCGATACGCACTAACAATTACTTTTTTTTACCTTTAAAGGATAAAACAGAAGTCTTGCAAGATGCTACGTGACCTCGCTCGACCTTTGGCCTCCTCCGTGTTATTGGCTTCTGTTGCTCTCGCTCTCTCGACGGCCATTGACCCCTTAGTGGAGATCAGGTTCAGGGTAAATAACATCACAACTTCGTAATTAGTTTTATAATGGTGTGGGACAGTCTCACCTAGACTTACTATGTCACATTACGTAGATCTTATTCTTAAGACACGAAATAGATTGATTTGAATGGCAGAGATGGATAGGACGTCCAGGTGGATATTCCAGGTAGATAAGAATTTATGATAGCTTTGATAACTGGTGCATTGCGTAAAGCATTATTTTGAACATTAGATAAGAGGTTTTTATCATACAATTTAATCACCCTTTTTCAATCAACTGGAAACGAAATGCAAAGCCAATGCTAAGCCACAGAACCCCCTGTGTTCCCACAGGACGCCGTCGCAGGAGCGAAGGACCCCGCCAGCCACCTGCAGCAGCGACGCCTTCCTTACTGCCTGAAAAGCGGCGCCCTTCAGAACGCCTCCTGCCCCTGCGACGCCGCCCTCTGCCAGCCCCACCTCAGCGTCATGCAGGAGGGCGTCAGGACCTTCTGCCTGCCTGCCAACATCACGGGGCTCTGCTACCGGTCCGAACTCGAGCCCGACAAGTCATGCGGCTGCTGCGTCGTGCAGCGCCAGTACCTGTGCGAGTAGACGGAGGGGGAGCGGAGGCGAAGGGAGGGAGGGAAGGGCGGAGGTAAAAAGGAAGGAAAGCGAAGGAGGAGGGAAGGAAGGGAAGGTAAGGAAGGCGAGGGAGCGAGGAAGGGAGGAGGAGGCGGGCTGAGGTAAAAAGGGAGGAAAGCGAAGAGAAGGAGGGAGGCGAAGGAGGAAGGAAGGAAGGCGAAGAAGAGGACGAAGTGACTCAGCTGAGGAGAGGAAAGAGAACGGAGAATGAAGCAAATAAGGGAGAGATGAAGAAGAACTGAAGGAAATGCGATACACAGAAGAAACGAAAGGAAGAAAAAATATATTTCCGTTACATTAATGTTATTTATACTGATTAAGAAAATGTCGAGTGTCTAATACACAATTGTTCTTGCACTGCAGACATCTCCTCTGGGTTTATCGAGCTGCTTGTTCTGGTTCCAATCCTGATCTTTCATTCCCTTTCTTGTTATTGCAGTAAATATGATAATAAATAAATAAATAATAAAAATAAAAATAAACAAATAAATAAATGTATAAACGTAAATAAATAAACAATAAATAAATTATAAACGTAAATAAATAAAAAATAAACAATAAACAAATTAATAAATGTATAAACGTAAATGAATAAATAAATTAAAACGCCGCAAGATATCTTTACCGTTTTAGTTGTATCTTCGTCAAAAATACCGAAGCTAACATGGAAACCGGTTAATTCATTACATATATTATATATATATATATATTTTTTTTTTTTTTTTTTTTTTTTTTTTTTTTCTTTTCTTTTTTTTTTTTTTTTTTTTTTTTTTAAGCAGTGGTTCCCGAACTTTTAGCGCTCCCTGATATTCCAGATGGATTCCTAGACCCCCCCCCCCCTCAGAAACACATACGAACACGCACCTATTTTCTGGTATGCTTCAAATTGGAAACTACAAAATTAAACACAAAAAAATTTAATTATGATAATGCACAAGTAAATCTAGTATAGCAATGTAGTCTATTTAGTTGTAATAATAAAAGTAATAGTAATAGAATAATAATAATAATAATAATAATAATAATTATAATATAATAATAATAATAATATAATAATAATAATAATAATAATAATAATAATAATAATTAATAATTAATAATAATAATAATAATAAATAATAATAATAATAATAATAATATAATAATAATAATAATAATAATAATAGTAATAATAATAATAATAATAATAATAATAATAATATAATAATAATATAATAATAATATAATTAATAATAATAATAATAAATGAAATATAGATGAATAAATAAATTATCTTAAAAAAATCTTACTGTCACCCTCCCCCCCCCTTTGGCCTCACCCCCCCCACCCCACCCCCACCCCCCCAGATCTTCCCGCCACCGCCCACTTCGCCCTCAAGCAAACTGATTTCATCTGCTGTCTCTCTGTCCTTTTAAACTGACAACACTTTCTCGCTGGTAAATCTATTTTGTATCGAAACTTTTCTCTA